GATGTATAGCTATACAGCAGAGAAGGTAGACACTAGAAATGTTTGGCACAAGCTGATGGCTTAGATCAGGGGTCGGCAAACTATGGCTTGCAAGCCACATGCAGCTCTTTGGGTATGTACATGTGTCTCTGAAGTAAAATTGAAAATGAAAATAAAACCATTATAGTTTAATTTATAAAAATTTTAAAGGATATTATTCACATAATGGTGATTTCATTTGTTTTATGGCTCTAGAATAATTTTTAAATTGTTCTGAGGGACAGGATTGGCCCTTCCATCTCAAAAGTTTGCTGATGCCTGGCTTAGATGATAGCCAGAAAATTACGTAAAATATCACCTTAGAACCGTTGAACAAGGTAGGCATGCTACAGAAGAGAAAGGTGGCTGTGGAGACCTAACAGGTAAGCCCTCTACCTTATTGGAGGTTGGGGCCAATAGCCCACCTTTCTGGCAACCCCTTCATTTATTGCTACCACACAAATGTGAAGGTAAAAACAATTTTTAGAAAAAAGGAACAACTCCACCAACTGTTCCCATCTCAGGATTTCTTACAGCTCACCCTTACCACGCGTTTCTCTATCTGGGAGTCCAGAAAGCTCCCTCAGCCTTCACACCACCAGGCAAGCTTAGAGTCCATGGGAGCTATGCCTTTTCCTTCCCTCTTCATATCTTCTTTTTTTGTACCCTCAGTGGAGTAAAACTAATAATCATCTTTGAAATATCTCTCACTTTGTGCTTGTCAGTAAATTGCCTTAAGGCACAACTGTCTGCTATCGAGAACAAGATGAACCTCAATTAAGGTTCAGAAAGTCAAATGCCACACAGTTCTCTAATCCTTTCACACCAACTACTACAAAACAGACTGATATTTTTATGATAACATTTGTATTGTACTTGACCATTTCTAGACTAGCTTCCTAACATCCTAATTTATTATGAGTTGCCTTAATGAGCACATCACTTCCCCAACACCAGATCGGGCCTGTGACCCACACATCGCAGGCTCCACACAGTTCAGGAGGCTCCCAGACTGCTCAAGTCAGGGCTGATTTGACTTGTGATCCTGTGCTCTTTTGTCTATGTCATGGCCTCCCAGGAGTCCAGAAAAACAAAATGTTATAAACTGACGGTTTCAGGAGGCACTGTGCTACAGGCTGAACGGTGTCCCTAGCTTCCAAATTCATATGCTGATGCTTTCATCCTCAATGTGACTGTATTTGGAGATGGGGCCTATAAAGAAGTAATTAAGGTTAAATGAGATAAGGGTGACAACATTCATTTTCTTATAAGAAGACACACTAGAGAGCTCACTACCTCTCTCTGTCTGCCAAGTGAGGACACAGCAAGAAGGCAGCCATCTGCAATAGGAAGAGAGCTTCATCAGGAACCAAATCAATAAGCACCTTGACCTTGGATTTCCCAGTCTTCAGAAATATAATATATCAATTTCTGTTGTTTAAGCCACCCCATTTGTGCTATTTTGTTATGGCAGCCTGAACAGACTAAAACACATTGTTAAAGATTAACATTAAGAGGCCGGCCGAGTGGCTCATTGGTTAAGAGTTGGCTTGGGAGCGCGAGCTCTGAGCAGCAGGGCCACCAGTTCAGATCCCACATGAGGGCCAGTGACGCTGAGCCCTCTACAGCTAAGATGGTGAACAACAGCTCCACCTGGAGCTCAGGTGCCGTGAGTTGCTGGCAACGGTGTAGGCTGCAGTGGGCTGCCGTGAGCTACCATTTGTTGCCGGCAACCAGCGTGAGCAGCCGACAGTCGGTGTGCAGCCATGAGCAGTCGTCCGATGGCCGGCGACCCATCTGCCTCAGCCAGGAAGAGCGCAATGATCACAATACCAACATGGGCTAATGAAGCGATGTCCTCCACAACTAGACTGAAGAACAAAAGGACAGCAACTTGTCTGTTCCCCTCTCCCAATTCCCCAATAAAATCTTAAAAAAAAAATTAACATTAAGGTGAGGAAAACTCTGGGGAATAGATAGATAGATAGATAGATAGATAGATAGATAGATAGATAGATAGTGTTTATTTACTATGGTACAATCTAAACTGGATAATAATATAAACTCAAAACACTGAAAAAAAATAAAAAAGAACCAGCGGTGACATTTCTTCTTGTGATTGCTCTGAAGCCATCCATCCAAGACATAGAACCCTGAAAACAGTGTTAAAATAGCGATGGTGAGATAAGTGTCTATAAAACAGAGACCTTTCTGGGGCTTAACAGCTAAAACACAAATGTTGATATTGTTTAAAGTGGATTTTGATGAGCTGTTCCTGGGGGTTGGAGTAGGGAGCACTTGACATCCAGGAGCTGCCTGGTGCTATCAATGAGGTCTTGGTGTTGTCCCATTGGGCATAAACAATTTCATGGAATATCAGCATCAGACAAGGTCACTCTAACAGATGAATCAGGACAAAAACAACACAGTTCCATAATCATCTGTGAGCACAGACAAAACATGATCATTGTCCAAGTCACAAAATGACTAACATGGAACATTAGCTCTTTTGGACCAATACGAGGGACTGCCATTGCTTTAAAAGTTATAATCTGCCTTCCCTATAGAAAGGATTACTGTGACACTCAATCATACAATGACCCCTGCTTCATGACACCATCCAATCCAGACCAAAGCTGTGCTGCCTTAAACCCTCCCAAAGTCACTGAGCACAAGCCCAAATCCTTTCAGTCCTTTCTGATGCCTGAGATACTCCACAGTTCCCGACTCTGTCCCTGACACAAGCAATAAACCTTATGTGTTCCACTACAGGTGTATTCCTAGTGGGCTTAGACTGAAAGGCACTGACCAAGGGCAGCTGGGATAATGTGGCCCTGAATTGCCCTTCTCCCATGTTGGTTGTCTCAACAGAGCCCCTTGGTGAACATATTTTTTTAAACTAGTAAAGCTTGGAATCTAATATTTACAATCCTGTTGTGATGCTCCCTTCTTTTTTTCCTTTGTTTTAAAGTGAGACAGAAATACCACTCAAATATATCAAGGGATTTAACCACACTTTGAATTTTAAACAACTGGGAGGCTCCTACATAGTCATAGCAACTCCCCCTACTGGCTGTTAACCAAGTAAACAACATCAAATGTGAGGTTTTGTATTCATTGAAGGCATGGTCGTTTTTGTCTGTCCAGCACCTGTTCTCCACTCATCTTCCTCTTCTGATTAACAGAGCTTATGTTATCCTGCATAAAAATCACTAAAGGCTGTGTGTTGGGGGTTCACACACTTACTCCTACAATGGGGATGAACATGTGACCTTGGTCTGGCCAATCAGAAGACCTCATTCCCCTTGCCACAGTGATTGGTTCAGGGAAGGCAGGTAACTCAGGCCTGGCCAGTCCTGTGGCTGTTTTCTTGCTGCTATAGAAACATGACTTCTTTATGCCATATGCTAAGCTGGTAGCATATAGATATGTAACTGCCAAGGGACATCCCAGCTAATACATAGAAAAAAGCCAGCTAAGAAGAGAGACAGAAAGCAGACATCATTCGAGTCCCCAGATTCAGCAATGCCTGAAGCCAGCAGCACTCCTGAATTTCCCAGTTATTTAAGCCAAAACATTAATTTTTTTTATTCTACATGAGTTTGAGTTGTATCTCTGTTAACTTGCAAACGAAAGTGACAGGACCCAAATATATCTTCAAGTTTGCAAACTGACTCAGCCCAATTTGTCCACTCAGCACTACCAAGTTGTTTTACATATCAGAAGCCTCCTGCAACTGGGGGTGGGGAGTGGCCATATGTCCCCTCATCTCAAGTAAACTTGTTACTAAGTGGTATGTAACCAGGAAAGCAAGTATAAGACCATATTCGGGTAAACCTACAAGCACTTTATTAGCAAGTAGGCACAGTAGGGGTGAAAGAACCTGTTCTTGTATCCCTAGGGAAGTCCACACTCTCCTCTGACAAGTGTCTTCATGGAAGATTCGCTCCAAAGTGGACACAATGATATTCTGACAACAGGAGGAGCTGATTTTTAATCAGAATCTTTTGTAAAGTGAGGAGGCCAGGACCAAACACCAAACAGAACTTTGGACTTCATGTGCTGCGTCAAAGGTGCCAGATTGCTGGACTTCATGCCAGGGTCACGGTGTCTGCAAAGGCCTTGTCACCCACCACTGATCTTCAACCCCACTCATTTCACCAATTAAAAATCATTTATCGGGCCGGCCAAGTGGCGCGATGGTTAAGAACTCGCTTGGGATGCCAGAGGTCCCCGGTTCGGATCCCACATATGAGGGCCAGTGACACTGCCCTCTACAGCTAAGATGCTGAACAACAGCTCAACCTGGAGCTGGGCTGCCGTGAGTCGCCGGCGACGGCGTAGGCTGCAGTCCCTGTGGCAGTGGGTTGCCATGGGCTACCGTGTGTAGCCAGCAGCCAGCGTGAGCGGCCAGCAGCCAGCGTGAGCGGCCAGCAGCCGCAGTGAGCGGCCGTCCAGAAACCGGCGACTGATCTGCCTCGCCAGAGAAGAGCGCAATGATGGTGCCAACTTGGGCCAGTGAAGCAACATCCTCCACAACTAGATTGAAGAACAAAACGACAGCAACTTGTCTGTTCCCCTTTCCCCAATTCCCCAGCACTGTTCCCATCCCCCCAATTCCCCAATAAAAATCTTAAAAAAAATCATTTATCATTATGCTAATTTATGATATGCATTATGCTAAATTATGGTATAATTGATAATATCATTATGCTAATTTATGAATCCAATTGTAAACTATAAACTCCTATCTAGGGTCATCCCAGAGTTAACCATCTCCAAAGCACAAGTTTCTGATGAGGGGACTTCAAATGCTATCTAACCACTGCTATGGTGCAAATTAAAATTAATTTACATATACATACATCCTATTGATCACCCAGAGAATAAAACACACACCAAACTTCAATCTTATTGAAAAGAAAATAAATCCAACATATTATCTAGAACATTTTTCATCTAGTCTGAGTCTTTGAACCTACCACAAAAATGGGATCATTGGCAGCAGAATGCGGCAAAGCACTTGTCCCATTCAGGAAGGAATGAACCAAATTGTGAAGGCTCATCACTTGAAAGTCCAGGGTCCCGTCTGCTTTATCAAACCCTTCCAGGGCATTCCTGAGAGAAATCAGTATGTCAGCAACAATAGTCATGGATTGATAAAGGTCTTTTTATTTCCTCCAGCCTAAATAACAGCTTTCTCATTGGAGATTGGGTAAGGAAATGAGAAGCTCTGTCATGGATCATTAACTAAGAATTAGCCCCAATCTTTAATGATGATCTTCTATAAAGGGAGGGAATTCTTAATCAGTGATACTTCTGCACCTGCTCAGCTGGATTATATCTCTTTTGTGTACTGTAGGACAATATTTTACCTTCATTTCTGTCTCCCATGCCAGACCATGAACTCCTAGAGAGCAGTTTTTCTTCGGATTTTTATTACCAATCTCAATACCATGCCCAGCACATGGTCTGTGATCAATAAATATTTTTTGAATTAACACATAATCTTATATTCCTATTTCTCAACTAAATAGACCTACAGCTTGACTGTAATATAGTCAGCATAATAAACATATCCCAAAATTCCCCTTTTCTTTTTCTTTTTTCCCCTTCCCATTTTCAGGAAATTCTAATTGTCCATATCCTAACCCAGTGATCCTCAAATTTAAGAATACAGCAGAATCACTGGAAAAAAAACACTTATTTCATGTCCCACATCTAGAGTTTCTGATTCAGCAGGTGTATGCTGGGTCCTAAGAATTTGTATTTCTAGCCGAATTCTAGGTGATGCCCATTACGGTTGTCTGGGCACCACACTTTGAGACTCATTCCCTTAAACCTGTATGGAAGGCAATCTGTGTCAGCAGCATTTTTACCACAATGAAAAACTAATGCATGTTTCTTTTCAAGACAATCTTAAATGTTGCCCTTTACCTCACCTTTGACACTACTTTTAAGGCTGTGTCCATCCCCAATACAGACCCGAACACTTAACACAACCTCTGCTTTCAGGTTTAGTCTATCCTACCCCTGGCCCCAAATAACCCGTCAGTTGTGTAATTCACAAACAGGTAAGAGAGATAGAATCCAGTTTTGGAGAAGTCCAGGAGTTTATCCACCATTTCTTTTTGGAGTCCCACTCATCTTTGTTTAAAATATCATTTATATCCATACGTATTTCTCTTAATTCTTAAAGTCTTTTAAGAGGGAGAGAATTATTAGCTGTCCTTTAAAATTTTAAGCATTGCTATTTAGTTGCTGTGTTGTAATTTGAGCTGCATTTAGTCTGTAGTACTCCTCTGAGATCTCAGACCCTAATATTAAGACCTATGGTTGATAAAATGTTTTTTAAAAAAACATAAAAGTGGAAGAAAGAGCATGAGCAAATATTTTTGAATCCTATATTTTAAAAGGTACCTTGGTTCTGAAGACTCTACCTATGCAAGGTCTGACAATTAAGTTTGCAAATTTGTTGCAATGATGTTGCTAACCTTTTTTGATATCAGAGAGATTATTCATTATGAATTTGTACCAACTGGACAAACACTTAACCAAGTTTACTATTTGGAAGTGCTGAAGAGGCTGCATGAAAAAATTAGACGACCTGAACTTTTTGCTGACAATTCATGGCTCTTGCATCACAACAATGCACCAGCTCACACAGCACTGCCTGTGAGAGAGCTTTCAGCCAGTAAACAAATCACTGTATTGGAACACCCTCCTTACTCATCTGATCTGGCCCTCAATGACTTCTTTCTTTACCCAAAGTTAAAGATAAAGGAAATATTGAAAGACATTTTGATCATATTTAGGACATCAAGGGCAATACAACAACAGCTCTAATGGCCATTCCAGAAAGAGTTCCAAAATTGCTTTGAAAGGTGGACTAGGTGCTGGCATTGGTGCATAGCTTCCCAAGGGGAGTGCTTTGAAGGCAACCTTAGTGATATTCAGCAATGAGGTATGTAGCACTTTTTCTAGGATGAGTTCGTGAGCTTAATTGTCTGACCTCGTATATGTACAGAAATAGAAATACAAAATATGGTTTTAAATAGCTGAATTAGAAGAGATTAAAATTTCACTGCTAATTATAGTGGGTGAATGATGACTTTCCTCACTCATACTGATCCCTTATTATCTTCTCTTATCAAAAGACTTAGCTTTGTGAATGTCTCCCAATACCTGGATTTCCTTCTAGTTCATTACGACCACAGGCATGAAAATCTAAAAGTGTTGTGAAGTTCCAGCCTAGCAGAGCTCAGAGCACCAACCTGAAGCTGAAGGTAGAGTTCTGGAAGAAAGGAGGATTGTCAAACTTCTCAAGAGACAGACAATCTTGTACATCTTTCTGGGTTGGCAATGTCTCGTTGTTTCTTCCCACTTGATTCCTTCTCAAAAAACCTTCATAGCTTCCATTACACAGGGTGACCCGGTAGTTGTAATCATCTATGCTAAGATTTGTAAGGGGATTAAAAATAATATGTTTTATGTGTAGATAGTATTATAACTTTGGGCCAAGAAAACCAATCAGAGTCATACTCATGATAAAATTTATTACAGTTACCTTATAGGTCAAAAATATGTGGTCAAAGTACTACCTCCAAAAGTAATTATGGATTAAAGTGTTTCAACATTGTAGGTGCAAAAATATGACATATGAATAAATATGCATAACAATTACCATTCCACTGTACAGACAGTAAGAGGATTTATAGGCAAGATGGTGACTCCTATTATGTGCATTGCATCTTGAGTAGCTGAAGAGAAAATATGGTGACCCGTATTCTACTGAGCTAAGCCAGTTTTGGAAGAAGGGCCTATGTAAAGCTAGAAAAGCATTGTAGGCAAATTGAAGATAAACGGAGGCAATCAGAGTGAAAACAGAAAAACAATATGGAGTGGGGGTATTAGGACAAACGCTGTATTAGAAAGTGTTCTAAGGCAGTAGGGATGGATATATATATATATATATATATATATATATATATATATATATATATATATATATATATATATATCTCAAACATGGAGGCTGAGAAAGTCCCATGCCCATAAAAGATTATATTCTACATGCCTACTGTGGCCTGAAATTTCACCATCAGAGCATTACTTCATTGGTAGAGATAAAATTTTAAAGCTGTTTCTGTGTGTTTTAATGGGTAAGGGTATATAGTACCGGGCATGTGAGAATAGAATCAGCACACACATGAGGACAAAAGAGGCCAGTACCTAAAACCGGGCAAAAAAAAAGGTCTCCAAGGCAGCATTTTCCAAGTGTGTTCAAGTGAGATGATCTGTGAAATAAAGGTTCCAGGGTCAGATAAGCTCAGGCCCCTCTTGAAGAAGAATAATATGCTTACATGAGAAATGCCCTGAGTCGTTCTAAATAAAGAAAGAAACTAAAAAAAAAAATAAACTTTTTAACTCAGCATTCCCGAAGTTTATTTGATCATAGAAATCTCTTTTCACATACCACATAGTAATACCTTAAGGCACTGTGAGAAATGGTGCTTTATAGAATTAGGTTAAGTCACGTAAAAAACTTTTCAGGTCTCTATGTAGTGTGGAGCTGCCTGGAGAACTGTAGGAAAAGCTTAGGATGGAGAAGGTGTGATCCCTGCTAGCTAGGCCTAGACTTCTGAAAATATGCATGTGTCCTGCCTCAGGTGTGTGATGATGAAGCTCTATGCTATGAAGTAGTCAAAAGACATAGGCCAAGGGAGTTAGAGTAGTAAGGTTAAAAACACGATTTTGGAGGAAACACATGAATAAAGGAAGGCAAAGGAGCCTCTTGGGGAATCTCTTTCTGAGACATGTGCCAGGAAAGAGAAACAAACTCAATGAATCACTGAGGACAGAGATCTTCATGGGCGGTGGGCTGCCCACCTGCTCCTGTGTCCTGCCATGCTAGAGAGTTTTCACCCATTGCCCCATGCCCTGTCCCTCGCAACTTGCAGCCACACCAGACTTCTTTTCTACCTTCATACACAACGTCCCCTCCACCTAGGATGCACTTACCACCCTCCCCTACCTGGTTGAGGTCTGTGCTGCCTTGAAGGCTAAGAATACTTGTCTCCACCTCTTAGAGCCTTTCCCTGACTCTCTTCTTGGCTTTGCACATACATCTATTACAATACCTCTCAGGTTGTATTATAATTTGTTTACAAGCAATTCACCTTTGTAAATATAAAATGATATTCAAGAGGGAAGCTATAATATATTCATCCTTGTATTCCCAACACCATCACACTGTTTAGACTATAACTGGTGCTTAACAAATGTTGGCTGAATGCTGGAACTACTCATTTCAAAACAGTTGATCTCAAACTGACGGCCAAGCATATTCAACTCACAAATGTGATTTTCATACCTCTATTCTTTCAGTAAAGGGCTTAGAATTTTTTTAAATCCCACCTCCCCCAGGAAAATCATTTTCGGAAGCATGTAAACAGAACCCGACATGCATTAGAAACAGAAATGTGAAGTGGTGCTCCATCTCTCAGACATAAGAAAATAAGGTCTCTGGGTTTCCATTCCAGGTACAGACGTGATTACCTGTCGCAGACAACTTCCCAGCTGGAGAATCTTGAGTTCTGACTAATCAGAGTCGGATCATCTTGTCTTGCTGCCCCAAGCAGTTGGTCTGTACACACGTCACACTCGTTCCTTCCCGTGGCAAAGTTCCAGAAGGGCAAAGCAAAGGACTCATTGCCAATAAGTCGCTAAAAGCAAAAGGCGTGCCTCGTCATTTAATTCATGCCATCAGATACAACACAAAAGCATACAAAGCAAAGACAGATAAGGATCTTCACCAAATGTAGAGCAAAATGTAAAGAGCCAACCTGGAGATCTCTTTCCAGCCACAACAAATGGTACCGGTGCCAGGTGACAAAGGCGGGTCCTCGGTGTGAGAAATCGATGGCCTTGTATGGGCGCCCTGGTCCTAAAAACAATTGGGAAACTAATTAGACATCACAGAATAAAGTTTTTTAGATGTTAAACCTTACTTGAGATGTATCTGCAAAGCCACTGAGCCAACAGTGTTTATTTAAAAAAAAAAAAAAAGAAGAGGAGGAGAAGGAGAAGAAGGAGGAGGAGGAGGAGGAGAAGTAGTTTCGGTCATTTATCTCTCTGAAAGCAACAACATCAATAACAAAACAATTTCAGAAGCAACTATCACTTTTAGGATAATTCTCCTTCATCTCTTGAAAGTTTGATTGTCAACAGAAACCCAGAGAAATTCAGATCACTTTTAGCGTTAAGAGCCCCTGCTATATATTTAATTTTAAGCAATATTTCATTAAGATGAAATCAGAGTATCTAAAGGAATAGATCATTAAGACCTAAATGAAATGTATTTTTAAAAGACATTTTCTAACCTATTCCTTACAAACTCACACATTTATAAGGGAGGGATTAATTAAAAATAAAGCAACTTCTACTGCACTTAGTTCTAAATCAGCATTTATATAACCAAAAAGAACTTTCATGGATTTTGCCTCAGCCATCAATCAGTTACAACTACTAGCTGACAACCATGGTCACGGAGACTAGAAGAGAGAAAAACACATTCAAACCAATTTGGCTGGCCACTGGAACTGCCAATTTTAGTGAAAAGCTTTGGGCAACTTAATGACCTCCTTACTGCCTATTTCATCCTTCTTTCCCCTTTCATAACAGCTTTTGATGGTTATGTAGAAACTTTAGCTAACTTTAGTTCTTTTTCAAAGCACCTATAATAACTTCAGAGAGCTGAACAGACATGAATATAAATTTAATTCCTAGATACGACCAGAAACTATAGCTTCCTTTTCCTCTTGAGAGAGTAGCCTCTCATAAAGCAAAAATTCCTTAGAGTCATGACAGGAGAGCTATAAAGGTTTATAGCTTAGAAGAGCCTCCTTATCTATCGACAAAGAAAGACAGATGCTTACCTGAGAGGCAGGTTTTTAAAAGACTCATACTGAGGAAAGAACTGCTGTCGCAGCTGTTGGACAGTCCTTTTTAAATGTTTTAATGCAGAACAAAGTTTAAAGTTCTCAAAACAAAATGATGAGGGAGAATAATATTGTATGTCAACTGTAATTGAATATTTTTTATTCAAAAAAAATTAATTAAAAATAAAAATGACGGCCGGCAGAGTGGCGCATTGGTTAACAGCTGGCTTGGGATGCCAGAGGGCCCTGGTTCGGATCCCACATATGAGGGCCAGTGACACTGCCCTCTACAGCTAAGATGCTGAACAACAGCTCAACCTGGAGCTGGGCTGCCATGAGTCACCAGCAATGGCGTGGGCTGCAGCCCTTGTGGCAGTGGGCTACCTTGGGTTACCGTGTGTAGCCAGCAGCCAGAGTGAGCAGCCAGCAGCCAGAGTGAGCAGCCGTCCAGAAGCCAGCAACTGATCTGCCTCGCCCGGGAAGAGCACAATGATGGTGCCAACTTGGGCCAGTGAAGCAACATCCTCCACAGCTAGACTGAAGAACAAAAGGTCAGCAACTTGTCTGTTCCCCTTCCCCCAATTCCCCAGCGCTGTTCCCATCCTCCAATTCCCCAATAAAAAAAAAAAAATCTTTAAAAAAAAATGATGAGGGAGAATCAAGTGATGGGGAACCAGTGAAAAGCACAAGAACAGACAATTCCAAATGAGAATGGACTATTCAAAGTGAACTTGATGTTCTCATTCAACCTGACCCCACCAAGGAGCCCCCAACGGTTCAGAACTGCACTGAAGCAGAACCTGGAATAGAGTCAAGTCCTCCGGGAATAAGCATTTCAGTCAGGGCTTTACCCTGACTGAAAAATAACTGAGGACGAAGCTGGACCTACTAGATTAATGAAATTCCTAACAGACAACCCCCCATTCAAAGTCCTACCCAGGTCCCAATTTTGGGGATTTAGAAGGGCCGGGCACCGTTTTCTCAAACATCAAATATAACGTGATTTAAAATGGCGAAGCCAGGAGGAATTCTACATTGCTATAGCTCAACTTATGCCTTTTCTTGACAAAACAACTCCAAAAAAGCACTGAGGATCCCAGCAGCGCATAGGCACCATAAATGATGACCTGAAAGTCTAAAGACCAGCACGTGTGAGTTTAATGAGATTCACACTTCTAACACACTCTAATTCTGCCCACAGAAGTTTCATGTGCTTCAACACATGTTCAGTTAATTCCTCTAATTTGAAGAGAAGGTCAGAGAGGGCTTCCATGACCAGATTTAGAAACGTTTTCTTCTGGAATCAAAAGTAATTTACCTTTACTTCACCAACTCTTGCCATCAGGTTGTTCTCTTGTTAATTAACTTGCCTGAAATTACTTCTCACCCATCCACCCCCAAACTTAAACCTATAATAATATACATTAATCTAAGGGATAAAACCCACCTAATAATGTATCTCTGACAGAATAATAATGGAGCCACACAAAGAAATCATAAATGCTGCAGTTGGCGATCTGTGGCTGGGTCCCGTTGGGCCCAAGCAGGCTCAGCCAGTGTTGCGTAGTGATCACGTAGTCGGGGTGTGTGGTGTTCTTTGCGAGGTCTAAGGCACCCAAGAACTGCTCCCTCTCCTGAGGAGTCAAGAAATGGATGTTCCGTCGAACAACTGGTGGTTTCTTCCGGTCGCAGTTGGGGCCAGTCCAGCCAAACTTGCAGTCTCCACAGTTAAAGCCAGCAAAGTTTCCTAGAGTATTTTTATAAAATGGGGGTGGGGAGGGAGACAGAAGAAGAAATAAGTTTATGTAGTTTGGAAGAAATTTCTGAATTTGAACTTTGGGGTAGAATGAAAGAGAAGATGAAGGGGCTTACAAGAGGGCAAAGAAAGCCAATTTCCTTCCCTTAATCTCCTCTTGAAAATTTTATATCTCAAAGTGAACTGAACATTAGAAAGTTCCCTAGAAATTTTTCCTGCAAAGAAACAGGATATGAAATACATCACATGCTGCTGTGGGCTGAAATGTCTCCCCCAAAATTCATATGTTGAAATTCTAACCTTCAATACCTCAGGATGTGACTATATTTGGAGATAGGGTCTGTAAAAGAGATAATTAAGTTAAAATGAAGTCATTAGGGTGACCTTTAATCCAGTATGACTGGTGTCCTTATAAGAACAGGACATTTGGACAAAGATATGAAGACACAGGGAGAAGACAGCCAAACCTGCCAACACCTTGATCTTGGACTTCAGGCCTCCAAAACAGTGAGAGAATGAATTCTGTTGGTCACCGGGTTAGTGGTGCTGTGTGATGGTAGCCCCAGTCAACTGACCCCGTGTTGTCCTCCACACTCTCCTTCCTCTCACCGGCCGTGCAGGGTGCCCCTTCCTATATCCACTCCACACCCCTACCTGGGACCAAGGAGCAGCCTCCAGGTCCACGCTGCTGAGCCTGCTGTCCGGTGGCACACACGGAAAGCCTGATTTAGAGAAGGGAAAGAATATACACCAAGCCAAAGGTGGAACCAAAACTAAATCAGCTGATTTCCAGAAATTCAGGTGAAATCTAACATTGAAAAAGCTGGTTTATTTCACAAAGGAGACAGAGTTAAGACAAAATCAATGGAGGCAAGCAGGTCATAAAGGTGAGTTAGTGGCCGTGGTGTCACAGGCAGGCTCCCTGTGGTTGCACAGAAGTCTCTGCGCTACCAACCCAAAGAAGGAGGACAGGTCATATCAGGCTCTCAGCCTCTTTCTGATTCACGGGGAACTTTAGTATTCTAGCTCGCCTTGACTTTTCCAAATTTAGCCTCGAGCATTGTGTTTGGTATAGCCGCACCTCATTCCTTAAATGGTGATAAGTTGGAGAGTAAAAATTTAAATGTTATTGTACTGAAATGTTGAAACAAAAGGGGATAATACCACGTATCTCCCAGGGGATGAGAGGGGGGGATGTAACGCATTTAACACAGGTGACCTGTCCCAGGGCACTCCTCCTCCGCCTTCTCCATCTCATGCTCCCAGGCCTTTTCACTGGCTCCTCTTGCTGTCATTGCCTGGGTTACCCTCTCCCCCGTTAAGCTTCACTATGGGCCGTCTGCAAGATCATCCTTGATTCCACATGCCAGAGGCAGGTCCTCCCGTGGCGCCTCCTATTCTGCACGCTGCCTATTCCGTTTCCATTGAGTTTATCACACAGACTGTGAACTTCCACTTGTCTCAGCAAGACAGTTGTCTTGCTGCAAGGCCTGTGCTTGGTTGTAAAAATGAGATTGGTGGGCTGGCCAAATGGCTCTTTGGTTAAGAGTTGGTTTTGAGCATGAGCTCTGAGCAGCAAGGCCCCGGTTCAGATCCCACATGGGCCAGTGATGCTGCGCCCTCTACAGCTAAGATGGTGAACAACAGCTCAACCTGGAGCTTGGCTGCCGTGAGTCCCCGGTGACGGCGTAGGCTGCTTTGGGGCTGCAGTGGGCTGCTGTGAGCTGCCGTGAGCCACCATGAGCAGCTGTCCAATGGCCAGCAACTGATCTGCCTCACCCGGGAAGAGAGCAATGACAATACCAACGTGGGCCAGTGAAGCGACATCCTCCACAACTAGACTGAAGAACAAAAGGACAGCAACTTGTCTGTTCCCCTTCCCAGATTCCCCAATGCTGTTCCCCTCCCCTAACTCCCCAATAAAATCTTAAAAAAAAAATTAGTATTGGTGGGATAAATGAAAGAAATATAAAGCCAAACCACTATACACATTTTAAGTATCTTATATTTGTCAATTGTACCTCAATAAAGCTGAAATTTTTTTTTTTAAGATTTTTATTGGGGAATTGGGGGAATGGGAACAGTGCTGGGGAATTGGTGGTAGGGGAACACAGAAGTTGCTGTTGTTTTTTGTTCTTCAGTCTAGTTGTGCAGGACGTTGCTTCACTGGCCCAAGTTGGCACCATCATTGCACTCTTCCTGGGTGAGGCAGATCAGCCGCAGGCTTCTGGATGGCTGCTCACTGCAGCTGCTGGCCGCTCACGCTAGCTGCTGACTACCCACTGCCACATGGCACAGGGGCTGCAACCTACGCTGTTGCTGGCGACTCTGGGCAGCCCAGCTCCAGGTTGAGCTATTGTTCAGCATCTTAGCTGTAGAGGGCAGTATCACTGGCCCTCATATGTGGGATCTGAACCGGGGCCCTCTGGCATCTCAAGCCAGTTCTTAACCATCGCGCCACTCGGCCGGCCCTGACATTTTTTTTAATAGTTTAAAAAAGAAAGAAGTATATCAAGTATAATTTAAATTTTTTTTAATTTTTAAATTTTTAAAAGAAAGTATAGAACATGTAGTAGATAATTCAATAAATGTATATTTTCTTCTTCCTTTCTCTCCCTATCCCTGTGGATTAGAAGGAAAAGCTGGCCCTGTAAATAGTTTTAATAAACTGTAAATACCAAAATGGAGGTATGTAAAAAAATACTATGGCGATAGTAGAGAGAAGCTTATTTGGATCTCTAAATAAAAACAAAAAGTTCCAATAGTATGAAAACAAAACTATTAGCATTTGTACTATGGAAACAAAATGCACAGACATCCTTTTCTATTAATTCAATGGATTTTTTGAGGGTTAAAGAAAATGTCCTTAAAAACATCATAAATAAGAAGAATGTTTTCAAAAGTAATGGGTTATTTGGGGTCCATGCTCTTTGTCACAAGCAAAATATTTTATCTACTTGCACATAGCTCATCTATGTTTCAATACCATATGAGAGCATAAGTAAAAAATACTTAAAAGGAAAAGTTCTACTAGTCCCAAGCCTGAAAATCATGTTTTTGAATAGTTTGGGTTAAACATTAAAATTTATATTGATTATTGGAGTGAAACTATTAAATACAAATTATTTAACAAATATTTGTTGAGCTGCTACTACAGTATCAGATGCTATGGAGGGTGCTTCAGGCTTCATGGAGCTTGGAGTCTATTTATTTTCCCTCAGGGTACCTACTGAAATCGTATCATAACTAGTTTTAAAGCATCTTTGATTAGAATGTATCACCTACTCTGGCAGCTTTTATAGGAATAAAGTATTTTTTGAGGAGTGATTGAATAAAATGCACCTGAAGGATAGTAAACACCCAAACTTCCAGCTGTCTACCTACAGCCAGATGCCTGGAGGTGAATGCATAGTCATAGCTCTACAATAAGAAAGTAATTCCTTCCTTCAAAATGCTAAGAAACAGAACCCCTAAGTTTGTAATAATAAACTCAATACATTTCTACATTTAAGGGCATAAAAATTGTTTTAGAATTGTGAGGTCTCATTGTTGAAATTGAGTATTCATCATGAGTTTTAAGATTCCTGCACTTTCTTTCCCATGATTCCTCATGGTTGCTAGAAACGAAATTACCAGTAACTAGTTATCTCCCTCGTTCATTGTTCAACAAATAATTTATTAACACCTACTACCTATAAAGCAGTCAAAACCAAGCATGCCTCCCTCTGTGCTTCCGCAGCCTTACATATATTCACAGATTGCCACACCTGGTACCATCCGATTTCAACTCTCAGAGACTGTCATGTTAGGATAAGCACTCACTTTATAAAGTCCTTATGTAAAACAAGCCTGTTAATATATTAGAGCACTTAGAACAGTGTCTGGCACATAGTAAGTTCTATATTGTGATTATTACTAGTATTACTAGATACCTCTTATCAAGTAGTATCATGTAAGTACTTGTTTTTATGTCTGTCCTACACATCCACTACATTTTGGGTGCATTAAAAATCATGTTAGGTGTTTTTTTTCCCTTTGTATCTGAAGGGTCTAATATAATTGGTGCTAAGTAAACGTTGGTTGGGTGCGTGATGAAGAACTCCATGAATAATTGAATAAAAGGCATTAAGCACTAGAGGATACAAACATAAATAAGGCACACTGCCTTCATCTAAGACAGATGAAATACCAACGCAAATCAAACTGTGGAGAAGGTGAAAACAGAGGAGTCAGCCAAGCATCATGGACGAAAAAAGACAAAATGATTAATTCTGACTCAGAAGGCCAGAGATGCTTCACAATTATGTTGAATGTCTCTTTTCACAAAACCAGAGTTGCCCTTGAAAATCAATGTAGAAGTAATAATAAGAAAACATTTGTCTGGAGTTGAACTCACCTGTGACCCAGAAATGTATTCAATAAAAAAAAAAAATTGCTTTTCCAGCATGTGTCAGAGAAAATACGCTAAAGCTCTGCGGTCAGATCTTTTTTCATTTTTGAGCTTCTAAACCTGGTCTAAAAAATTTGTTAAAATGCTGAAGACAACTGAAAAGTGCAACAGAGTGAAAGCCTAACACCCAAAATGTTCCTTTTTTTAAGTTATATTTCCTAGTAGTCCCTTACAACGATGTAATGTGAGTTAATTTTTTTCCCCTTAATCCACCAATAGCAACAGCTAAAAATATAAGAGGGCTCTTCTAGAAAGAATTGCATTATCTCACGGGAAAATGGAGAGACAGAAAATAAAGGATCCCTAGATACCAATTTATCTACCATTGAGCATGTCCTTGAGAAAAATTAAATTTAAAAAGACAAAGTCCAATACCTACTTAGGGCTGAGATAAAAATGGGAAGAGAGTGAGAACAACCAAACAATGCACGTTCTTACACGAACTGCATCAGCTCAACTTCGGAAGGCTATTAGACTAAATAAGCTTAAAGGCCACTGATTAGTGTATTTACAAGGAGCTCTAAGGAGTCTATTCCTTTTAATTAGAGATTCTATTATTTTAATAACAATACTTTATACTCACATAGGGCCTTTCATCTACAGAGCTCAAAAGGATTTTACAAGTGTGGTTGCATCATCATCCCTATTTCAGAGATTGGAAAATGGAGGCATTTAGTCACTAGTACAAACAAGATGTTCTCAGACAACTGTTCAAAAACTATTTGGTGCACATGTTTTTCAAAAGCCCAAAGATAACAGCTGCAACTGGTTATTCTCAGAAATGCCAACTGACAGGTAAGACTTGTAAAGTGAATGGCTAAGTCTCCTGAAATTCGACTCTTCCTGAAAATTAAGTTTAGTAATTTTTGGTCTCAGTTTATCCCCATAGAGAATGCAGAGAAGTTCTCTGTAGAGAATTTGAGCACATAATTTAGGATTTTTCCCTCTCCAAGTTTGCATTTATTTTAGTTTAATAGACTAAAATCTTGTACCAACTTCAAGATCGTGGAGACTGTATTTTTTTAAATTTTATTTTACTGTGGTAAGGACACAATATGAAATCTACCCTCTTAACACATTTTTAAGTGTATAGTACATTATTGCAGGTACAGAACTCTAGAATTAATCTTGTTGAACTGAAACTTTATGCTGGCTGATTAGGAACTCTCAATTTCCCTCTCTCCTTGGTCCCTGGTAACCACCATTCCATTCTGATTCTGTGAATTTGACTAATTTAGATGCCTCATATAAGTGAAATCATGCAATATTTATCTTTCTGTGACTGACTTATTTCCTTAACATACATGTTGTCCCATACTTCAGGATTTCCTTCTTTTTTAAGTCTGAATAATATTCTGTTGCACATATATATCCTTGGCTAGAAAGTGGAGAAAAGGGAACCCTTCCTTGTACACTATGGGTGAGAATGCAAAACGGTGCAGCTGCTATGGAAAACAATATGGAGGTTCCTCAAAAACTTAGAAATAGAACTATCATATGGTCTAGCAATTCCACTTCTGGGTATTTATATAAAAGAATTAAAATCACAATCTCAAAGAGATACTAGTATCCCCATGTTCGTTACAACCCTATTCCCAATAGCCAAGATGTACAAACAACCTAAATGTCTAAATGAATGGTACGTTTATTTTTTTCACTGAATGAACAAAATTCAAGGTCATCAATAGTCTGGTTGCTAGAAACTAATCTACACCTCTTTCTTAATAAATTTTCTTTGCCCTCAGGAGAATCCCAGGGATCCTATTTGCGAAAGAATTATGAGGCTATCAGAAAGCAGGGCTTTGAGGCGCTTAAGATCAGGTTTAAAATCTGAAGACTGCCTCATAAACCATGAAAAAGCTAACCTAGGAAGCAAGCAACTCACTCATTAGAGAAAATACACTGAAAGACATGTGTCTTGCTTTGGGACATATGACACATCACAGTGATTATTATGTATACTAAATAACTTTCCAGCTCAGCCACTAAGGACTCAGTCTGGTGCCCTGAGACTCAAAGAAACAGACCATCTAGCCAACACAAGTGGAGCCATCCAAAGTTGGGATGGAAAGAACTACAGTCCTGAATTGATCTAGACAGATAAAATCATGGAGCAGGGTGAGCTACAGCCTGGTAATGGGTCTCAGGGGAAGTCATGACAATGGCTGGAGAGACACACATCCTGAGAAAGCCCTGCTTCCTTTGGCTGGCCTATGAACATGTGATGTCCTTACAGCCTGGACTTACAGGACAGGGCTTGTTTCTGATCCATTGCCTCTTGGTATGTTTATCCTCCTCAGAACAGGGGATCCTTCTGTATGTTTGGAAAGTAGGTCACTGTGACCCTAAATTATTGTCACTTCTAGAGGAATATTTATAAGCATTCCCTCAAGAAAAGGAGATTACAATTATCCTTTCTATTCTGCCATTTTCTATTCTTTCCATCCCCACTTTAAAAAAAACAACAAAAAACTTGTTATCCAGGTCAAAAAGATAAAGTAGATGGTGATAAGAAGAGTTAGCAATTATATCTTATTTCCTAATATAGTCTGTCCCAGGAGTCTACAAAACAGAGATTTTCAACCTTTGTAAGTTGTGACACTCTACCATTGACCTGGGAATAAGTGTTCTAGAAGGATCTTTGAGTCATGGACAAAGAAGTTAGTGTGTTGTGTGATTTCCAATCACACAAGTAATAAGAAACCTGCTGCTTCTCATTAGACTGAAAAGCCATGAGCATCTACAAGATAATGTCTATAGAAGCAAACGCTCAATTAGCTTAGAAAAAAAATGGATAGCACATATTCAATATGCTATTAAAAACTTCTTGTTACGATTAATACCCAAGGCGAAACTAACAGTTCCTTTGAATCACAGAACTAACAATATGACTACAAAATGATTATAAAGCCAGAATTTTTTTAAAGTTTAAAAAAAAAAATCTAACATTATTCCTATATTAACATCACAGTCTTTTGTACATTCCCTTAGTTTTACTTTTTATACCCTTACATAGCTCAATTACCTGTATTTTCCTATGTCCCAGCATTATATAAGAGCATAATAAAAAACATAATTTCAAAAGGAAAAACTCTTATGCAGCTGGACACTGTAGAACAGTTTGCAGGGGCTTTGCTAAAGTTGCCACTTTTGTTTTTTGTGTTTCAAATGCCCTGCCAGCCTTTGAGAGTTTATCACCACTGTGCACGGCTGCTGAACACCGGAGGGGAGCCCTGCTGAAGAGGATTTGAGAAGGCTCAGAAGAGCCAGAAGAATAAGAAGTGCACAGAGATTTCAAAGAAATGGGTCATAAGAGACACCAAGGCTTAAAAGAGGGACACTGCGCAACTTTTGAATGGCCCACATCAAACCCACACAAGAGTGAAAACACACCGTTGTTATCTAATAACAACCCTCCCTTCCCCAGCTCACTGAGAAAGCTAGTCCTGCCATATCTTTCCAGCTCTGGCAAAGTTACAACCATGGTACAACATTAACAAGGAAGATGTACCCTGCTTGAGGCCTGTTCAAATCACTAGAAACGCTGAGGCTAGGACTACAGGATGTCTTCCTTGGATGCCTGTCTTCTAAATGCCAAGCCTCACCCAACCCCCCTCTTCAACAAGTGCAAACCCATTTCAGGAGAAGGCGCTGAATCCATCTTGAAAGGACTTGCTCTGAATTTCAAAGCTAACTCTGGAGCACTTTAGCCTCCCCTTCCAACAAACAAGCCAGTGGTATATTGGCATGAGTTCATAAAGCCAGGCTTGGCCCATGTAATATTTGTTTAGTTTCCATAACTAGATGTATTAGAGGGTGTGAAGAATATCAGCAAGACATCAGCCTTACTCAATTCACTGCCCATGAAAAACAAACTTGGTTGGCCTTTCAAAATTCAGCCTGTCTCGTGAGTCTTGTCTCTTCCTCGGAAGGAGCTTTCGTTCCCAGCGCGGCCCTCCCCACTAAGCCTGGAGCAGGCCAGGTCGCTCCGCAGTGGCCTCCCTCACCTGTGCACTTGCAGGTCCGGTTGAAGAATTTCCATGGCCACCGTTCTCGGTCATCCTGGTTTCGCAGGACGTACGGACCACCCCAGGGCCTGGTGTCGGTTTGCACCTCCATGCACTGGCCCCGGCCCACCTGAGAGCCACAGACGTTGGCCGGCTCCACACCCAGGGGCGGGCAGCACTGCTTGGACAACAGGCTGTCCAGTGTCATGCAGACCCGGGGGAACTGCGCCCAGACCCCAGGCAGGATTCCACCGCCCAGGCAACAGAGCAGAAGCCCCCAGCGAAGGGGGCCCATGGCTTTATAGTCGGAGACCTCCTTACGCTGTCTACTCCTTACAGCTCTCCTGTTTTCTTCTTGTCTTCCACTCTTGAGCTCTTGAGCATTCACTCAGTTTTCGATTTTTGGTTTTTTGAGGGGGTTTTTTTGGTATATTTTTATTTTACATTCTATTCCTCACCTCATTAAAAAATGCCTACAAAATCACAGAACCCATGCATGTGCACGCGTATTCATGCACATGCACAGACTATTTTATGTAATCCAAACAACTAAGAGAAATTTAATTCCACTAGAAGCACCTCTAACAAGCAGATTTAATGAGGGTGGCACTTCTCACCATTTTCCCCCCCGTTAAATCAGGCTTTGTCTAATTGAGTTAATTTGCAGATCACTCCAGTCATACTACTTATTATGCTGGTATTTCTAAACCCCCTCTTTCCCTCCTTAGTCCATGACTTTAATTGCCTTGAACTCAGTTCAAAAGGCAAACACCGGGCTGCCTTTATTCTGTCCGGCTTGCCAAGCCACGGGGCCTTGTGGGGTTTGTATAAAGGCTGGGAGAAGCCATCATTAGAGGAATTAGTGTTAGAGAAATCCTCATGGTTAGCACATGACCTAAAGTGCACAATGAAGTAGATAAAGTTTCTGGCTTTGCTTCATGAGGGTAAAACCATCTTCATTATCTGGGCTCATGTGCTCTAGTCAAGCTTGTGACCTCAGACTCCCCAGGGAATCAATAGATGCAGTGAGCTTGTTGTCAAAGGCCCTTTGCAGACAAGCGTTCATTGCTGACTACAATTCACTCCTGACTGCTCCCTGATGTGCTAGAAAGACCACGGCAGGAGGTCATGCAACTTCAGAAATAAAGAAACATTTATTCAGGGCTGACGTACAAGGAATTGCTTTGTTCCAAAATTAGGGACCCCTCTTCCCTCTAAGTAATAATGCACTATTCTATTCAGCACAGCCAGGCAGCAGATTTGTTTAAATTACATGAAGCGCCACATCACCAGAAATTAAAAATTGTCATTATTTGATTGTAAGGAAGGCAAGTGGGACAATGTGAAGCAAAGGGTTGCAAGTGACATCTTTGGATTTACGTTAAAGTTAAGCATTGTCAATCTAGAAAGCAATGCCTCCCCCAGGGGCAGTGAGGGGGGTGCCCAGACCTGTCAGCACATCCATTTACCTCTTTGTGGTGGAAACAGGCCTGTCTGTGTGTCAAAAGGGTCTGTATAGACAGCTGATGTGAAACTGGTTCAAACAGTTCCTGAGAATACTTTACATCAGGGTATAAAAATACAGCATGTTATGTTCCAAAGTCAATGCCTAAGGTTAAAACACAATTTATATGGCTATCTCCACCCTGTGTACTTGCGTAACCCCATGATATTAAGTTGTGATTAATCAAATGGCAGCTCTCAACTCTGACTGTACACTAATGCCAGCCAGTACCCTAAGCCCACTGAGGCAGAATCTCTGAGGGGGTGGCCCAGACTTCAGCATCTTTTATAAGTTTTCTAGACCATTCTAATGTGCACTCTGAGTTGTGAATCCTTGGGTCAGAATAAAGCACAGCTCCAAAGGAAATGGCGGAATCAAGTCAGCTGAAAGATTCCATGTATGTTACTTTCCCCAGGCTGCCCTAACATATTACCACAAACTGGATAGCTTAGAATCACAGAAATTTATTCTCTCACAGCTCTGAGGCCCAAAGTCCAAAATTAATGTGTCTATAGGGTTGCCTCTGAGGGCCCTGGAGGGGCCTCCTTCTTACCCCTTCTTGCTTCTGGGGACTGCCGCCATTCCTCAGCCTCCTTGGTTTGAGGCGACATCACTCCAGTCTCTGCCATACTCACATGGCCTCCTCCTCTTCAGACTGTGTCTCTCCTCTCTGTGTATAAGGACACTGTGTGTCATTGAATTTAAGGCCCAACTGGATAATCCAAGATGATCTCATTGTGAGATTCTTAATTACTTTTGCAAAGACCCTTTTACCAAATAAGGTCCCATTCATAGGTTCTGGGCACAAGCATAACTCTTGGAAGTCATTATTCAACCCACTGTGCCATGGATATGAGCCTTAAATAATACTAGAATTTTAGTATCTCGGTGTTGGAAGGTTGTTTCGGTGCACGTTCACTTATTCCATATTTATCTTTTGATCTACTTCTTACCAACCATGGGACATTTTGGGATTTCATTCTGTTGACTGATGCCCTGGTTCCATAAATATTCAGAGTTCTTGGATACTGACACTGACTGAGGCATCAACTCTCATATCCTAAGGCCCCCAGGTCTAAGTCCTGGGGTCTCTTTTCTTTCATAACAACACTTGCTACCTAACTCACCTAATCTGTGAGTTTAAATGTAGGCTATCGTGACTCCCAAAATTACAATTCTAGCCCTGACCTCAGCTGTGAGCCCCAGACTCATATATCTACCTTCCATGACCTCTCACTTGGAGATCCAGACATTTCTCACTTAACATGTTCAAAGTAAAATTTTTCTTTCTCCTAACAGTTTCATTTTAACTTAATTACCTCTTTAAAGGCCATATCTTCACATATAGTCACATTCTGGGGTCCTGGGGGTTATGATTTCAACCTATGAATTTGGGGGGTTTAAACAAGGCTGCAAACCAATCAGCCTTGCAGAAATATAATTTGGCACATCATAAGCACTTTAAAAATATTAGTTGAATAAATGAGCTTTCATCTGTGGTGTCCTCCCCAAAGACACAATCATCCGCAATAAAAGCAGGGTACTCTTTACTTATCATGGAAACATCAAGTTTGAGGTTCCATACTTTGCAAGAAAGCAGGGGAGACAACATTCACCAAGAAATAATAATACTAGTGCTTGACAGGTGAAAGAGGGTAGGTAGAGTATAGATTATTTGACCTGGAATAGAATTGCTAGAGAGTGATTGAATGATTTTTAAAAAGATAAAAGATTTACTTTGGGTATGACACAATATGGCTACAGGTTAGGCTATGTTGTGATTCCTTTAAATTCACTGGATTTTGTGGTCCTTTTGAGTTCCTATGTGTTACTTGGTTCTGTGATTTTAGGAGTAGGAAACTCATTCAGTCTCTGCTACTGTATTCAGTCTCTGATCTGTCCCGTATATATTGTTGCAGGTTATTTGTTCACTGGCTATTATTCTCATTTCACAGAAGAGAAAGTAGAGGCAGCAAGACCTCAGGTAACAAGTCCTGTGACTGGGCTGTGTTTTCCTGACTCCGAGGTCATGGTCTTTTCAATATGCTGCATTACCAAATGTATCACCTTCTCCAGGGAGTGCTTCAAGCTAAGGGCTGATGGAAACTTATATTTCTTTATCTCTTAGTCTATGTCAGGTTCTGTGTTAGGCTTGCTTTCGTTACCTCTTAACCTATCTAAATTACCATGAAATGCTGCTTATAATTTAAATGCAACTAATTTCAATGAATTGTTTTAATATTTCTACCCTACCTGGAAGCCCTAAGCAGGTCAGAATAAAATTAAGAAATCCTCATTCTAGAGCCGGCCGAGTGGCTCCATTGGTTAAGAGCTCGCTCAAGAGTGCGAGCTCTGAGCAGCAGCGGTTCGAGTCCCAGCCCAAGCTGAGCTGCTGCTGAGCTGCCAACAGGTGGAAGGATGGCTCGGATATAAAAAAAAAAAATAGCTTCAAGAAATCCTCATTCTGATAGAGGAAACTGGCTGAAGTTGAGAATGTATGGTCCCTCCCAGCTGTACATTAAATGAATTTCCTTGTGGTATCAGCCATCCTCCTGCATTAAGACATGTTATGAGAAAACGTCAAGTGAAACTTCTAAGGCATTTTTATATTATCTAATATACCTCACAGTGTCATTTTATGAGGGTCTAGGGGAGACATTTCTCTGAGGGTTCAGTACCCAGAAAAGCTGTGCTTCCTCAGCAACTAGCTTGTCCTGAACTTTTAGACCCTCTGAATCCCAGGACCGTGTTTCTTTCTTTGCCTTGGCCAGTTATGAAGCTTAGGGCCAAATTTGCAGCCCCCATGTCAAGCAACTGATTCACTCAGTATCTAGCTTGATATTTTCCTTCTCTGTGTTCCTGGATTCTGGAATTCCTGTTTTACCCTTTTGCAAAGTCTGGCATTTCTCCAGCCTCTCTCAAATTTCTTGAGAAAGGAAGCAGAAAGATATATACATCCACACATATTTCTGCGTAAGTCCAGTGGTAATAAACTCCCACCCAAGTTATTGTTTGTAAGAAAGTCAGGGCTTAGACAATTCAAGATGAATTCCTGAGAAATTGGTGTAAGTAATCAGAGATCTAAGGAACATACACCAAGGAGATCGCAGATCGTGAGCATGGCTGAAATTAAATATAGCCTTATTCACAAAAGGTAAAGTGTTTGCTAGGACCTGAACACCAAATCCAAGAGGAGATATTTCATGGGTGTATTGAGACCACTTGTTGCCAGTGGGATTTACAAAACCAGAATATTCTAATATTTTTCTGGAACTCAGTAAAGACAGGCTGCTGAGTATCCTAGAGCTAAATAAATAATCTGAGTGTAGAAAACTGCTTAATTAGAAAGCAATTCATGTTACCCTGTCCTTTCATAGTCAAGGCAAGAGTCTTAATGAAAAATGATGTTCTGCATACTCTCATTTTAGCTCCTAGTACCATCTTGCCCATAAGAAGGACCCAATGCATGTTCAGGGGAATTAATTGAATTAGATATAATACTTGAGGAAATGTGTGAGTGAATGATGCAGGGTGAGCATGCAAAACTTTGCACATAGGATGCCAGCCCATGCTTTTCCTACATTTAAAGGAGGAAGAAATAGCTCAAAGCCTGGTAAGCAACCAAATGAGGTGCTAAATGTTTTAGAGCCACTGCTAAAATTAATACAGAGAAATCATCTACATTTTTCTTCTGCTTGTAAGTGAGTTGCCTGTTCTTTTCGCCATGCCTCTGAATGTGAAAATCCTCCCCGATTTTAATCCCTGCTGGAATCCTCTGTCTTAGGCTTTTTGATCTATTCTCTGCTGCCATATCATGGGGAAAAGAGATTATATTTTTCCCCTGTGTCCAAACTGTTTCCTAAATGCTGGACATCTGTACAGATAAGGGTTTTGCTTTCTACATCTAAGAGCTTTTCTGTTTTTAGTGGTGTGAATTGTTCTTCACAGGAATTATGGGTTAGGAATGGGCTGTGTGGTTTCTGGTAGTTCAGTTGGATGCATTTTATTCCTCCTGAATGCATTTGATAGTCTATCCTTAGGCTGTGTCTATACATCAAACACATTTTTTTAATTTCAGATTTTGCATCGCTCATGTTTATATTCATCTCAGTTCTTTATTATGCATGCTTGTGCCCTCTAATTCTTATTTTATCATTTTGTTTTTTATCCTTCATCCTGGTCATGGGTATTCAATTTAAATTTGTTTAT